GAGAGAGAGAGAGAGAGAGAGAGAGAGAGAGAGAGAGAGAGAGAGAGAGAGAGAGGCACAGAGACACAGAGACACAGAGACAGACACAGACAGAGACAGACACAGACAGAGAGAGAACATATATGCCATGAAATCATGACATGTAGAGGTCAAAAGATAACATGGGTTACTGTCCTTTCCCTTCACCATGCTCAAGACAGAATCTCTTACTGCTGCTGATGCCCAGGTATCTGGCCAGAGAAATCCTGGAGGATCTCTTGGCTCTATCATCTATCTTGCTATAGATGTGCTAGGATTTCAGGTCTTTGTGCCACTGTGTCTGGCTTTTATGTGGGTACTACACTACACTACACTACACTACACTACACTACACTACACTACACTCATGCTTATACAATAAATACCTCACTTACTGAGTCAGCTGCCCAGCCCCAAGGCAATTTTAAGTTTTAAAAATCACCATCACTTTTAGTTCAGGCTGATCAGTGATCAGTATTGCATTCCTTTGTGTGTGTGTGTGTGTGTGTGTGTGTGTGTGTGTATGTGTGTGTAAAATTTCACATGCTGACCTGTGCTCCTCTTACATGATAACCCATCCTTCCTCCTTTCAGTCCATCTGGAGATTTCTGGTTCTCCCTCCGACTCTTCATCTGAGTTTTTGTACAGCTTGAGTTTAACCCAGCTTCTGTGGGAGCACCTTCTATTCTGTTTTCTGAGTTATTTTGTTGAATCCAAAGTATTTTCCTGTGCACAAAATTCATAGTTTTAAACAATGAGTTGTGTGGATCTCTCATTGGCTTTGGTTCTTGTCATAAATATGATTTTTAGCATATTTTGAAAATCATATTTCAATAGAGAAGAAGTTTTGTTTTTCAAACATAACAAGTATAAAGATCGCCAAACTGCCAGTTATTTGCTGGTTTCATATAGTTTGTTTTTGTGTTGTTATTGTTGTTGCTAAGTGTAACTAGTAGCAGTGAAAGCCCACTACTAGAGCTGGTGACAAAACTTAGTTGCTTAGAGCAATTGAAGTTGGGCAAGGTGACACATGCTTCCTGTCTTGACATTTTGGAGGAAGAGGTGAAGAAAGAAAGAAAGAAAGAAAGAAAGAAAGAAAGAAAGAAAGAAAGAAAGAAAGAAAGAAAGAAAGGAAGGAAGGAAGAAAGAAACAAGAAAGAGACATAGCCCTAATGTATTTATCCCAATCACTCCATCAAAATGAAGACTCTCATAAGAACATGTAAAACAGTAAACACAAATGAAAATGTCCCATGAAACTCATTATTTTTTTATGCTTAAAAGAAAAGATTCTCGTGTGATTTATCTTATCTTTCCAAGTTGCTCTGCATACTGAATGATCCGGAACAGGACACATCTGTGTATGCACACACACACGTTTGTCTGAGGGTGGCATTTCTCATAGTGGTCATAGCCCTCAGGAGAGATGAGGTTAAACAAAAACGAGGAAAAGAACTTCCAGAATTCAGGGCTTACAAGTATCTATTTCACAGAAGATGACCAAGGGTCAGCTGCTGCTTCCTTTCTACCTCATCTTCCTGCTGGACGCTGGGAAGTGTAGTACTTCCGGTCTAGGCATTAAGAGAAGAGAATGTGTGGGAAGATTATGAGAAGAGACCCCATCCCACTTCATACTGTTACATTGAATGTGTAATGTTCCCCCACTGGCTCATGTGTTTGAACACTTGTCTCTAAATAATGGGGCTGTTCTGGAAGGTTGCGGGGCTTCATATGGAAGAAGTGAAGGGTGGAGGGACTGACTGACCTTGAGGTTTACAGCTTAGCTCTGCTTCCTACCTAACTCATGAATTAAGTTTTTTAGAACTACTAGTTTATTGTTAGTGTGTAATATGGAGTGGGGCATGTACACGGCACAGCACGCATGTGTAGGTCAGAGGGTAACTTTGTGCAGTCAGCTCGCTTCTCCCATCCTTCCATAGGTTCTGGGAACAGAACTCAGTGCATCCAGCTTCAGCACCACATGCTTTCTCTGCTGAGCAGTCTCACTGGCCTGTGGTTGGTTTGCTAACTCCACTTATCTAGCTTCTATTTGCTCCTTACACAAGACTGTTCGGCTTATTGCTACTATTATTTCTACTAGCATGGTTGGGTTACTTCCTGTTATTCTACTACTTTCAGAAAGACCACATTCAGGTAGAAGAAAGAAAGGTACCAGCTTTAAGATAAAAAGTGAAAATACCCTACTGGATGGGGGATTCTGCCTAGGTACATGTCAAAGACTTTTTAGCGGGAACAAATGTTTTCCTAATAGTTTTCCAGGTATAAAACCACATAAGATGGAAGCTATGTATGAAAGAGTGTTGACTTGGTGATGGGGGTTAGTCAATAAGACAGAAGGGAAAGGTCTTTCTGTCTGATAATTACAAAGCATTTGAATTTGCAGATTCCTCTGGACATGTGGAAAATTAGAAGTGGAAACAAGTCTACTTATAAGACTTAGAGTAACATCAACATGCATGAAGAGAGAAAGCCAGAATGGCTGAGAGGAAGAATGTTGATATCCAAGTCAGAAGGGGGAGGGAGGATGGCAGGCATGATGACCTCCTACCCATGAGGCAACAGGGCAATGACCCTGTGTTGCTGAGTTAGCAGTTGTGTCAGAATCAGTGCCAAGTCCCAAAGAGAAAACAAAGAGGATGGTAATGGAAAAAAAGCCCAGTATGGTGTTTTTAGCAGCACAGAAACCCGCCAAAGTCACAGGACTTCTAAAGGTATGGGGCTCCCTCCCAGGCAATGGCAACCTGGGAACTAAAAGAACCAGGTCTAGTGGGTCCAGGTACAGAGACAATGTAACCAAGAACATACCTTTCCAAATGTGTTTACTGGGACCTCATGACAGATCCTCTGGCATTTTCTTGATTCTAGGAAAGAAATGAAGTAACTAGCAAGAGAAGTGGGAGTTGACCTGATGCTCTCTCTTCTGTGCACACGACTCGTGCATACAGGGACATGGCAGTTCTGACTGAAAAGAAGCCAGTGAAATACTTGGTAAAATATCTTCTCAAGAGGAAAAGGTTTCTTGATTTCATTGTAACAGGTTTGTGAGTTATAGTTTATGCCAGTATTCGGAGCCTCTTGGACATATTTTAATTCATCCCTTTGAGTGTGAGGTCAAAGACTCATTCCATGCACCAGGCTCTGCATATGCCATGTTCTACATTGTCTAGACAGTCATTCATGAGTAAGGATTTTTACAGGGCAGAGTGGCTGCAGAGTTGTAGGTGATGGTGCTATGAGTTGCTCTTCATGTCATTTTTTGTACTCTTCTGTACTGTTTACATCCATGACATGTTTTTCATAATAGTCCCTCAGATGACAGTGTTACACATAGGTCCATAAAGATGGACCATTGAAGATAATTCACTGATGCCACTAGATTAAGTGTGCTTTCCAGAGCTGAAGAGTTACATATCAAGCAGGTAAGGCAGCTGGGGAGATAGCAAAGTACTTGCTGGGCAAGCATTAGGACTTGAGTTAGATTCTCTAGAAGCTGTATGTATGTATATGT